TCGACAACGCCATCTTGTCGACGGCCGACATCCCACCGCAGCAACGTGCCTGGCTTCTCGATCTTGTCAACGCGACGCCACTCGGTCGCCTGCCGTCTGTCGTCCAAGAGCTCGTCCTTGACTTTGTTGGCCATGCAACGCTCAGCACAGATGAGGCCGCCGCGGTGGCCACCGTTGCCAAGGTTGCGCGAGAGGTCCTTGTCGCGGCATCGCTCGCCTAGTCTTCTGCCTATAACCACTAGAATTGTACTACACTCTAGCTATCTTATAGGTATCATTTTGTCATTTTTTGAAGCGTTTTGCATACAACGTCTCAATTGATAAACACGGTTTCGTCGATGGGACTCTCTTCCCAAACCGTCTAAAAACGGGGAGGATTACTACACGAGGAAGGGTTTCTAGTATGTCTGGAATGGTCGTCTGTGACGATCGGAAGCGGATTATCCACAGTTGGCCGGGCTCTGTCCACGACACTCGCGTGTGGCGCAACTCTGCGCTGGCCACCGATCCAAATGGTTACTTTGACCGCGGCCAGTATCTACTGGCTGGCAGCGGGTACCCTACGGAGGCCAACCTCTTGGCCGCGCACCGAAAGGTACGCGGCAGTCCTATGCCCCTCGAGCACACCGTGTTCAACACGCGTCTAGCTCAGTGCCGTTCCATCAACGAGCACGCTATTGGGCTCTTGAAAGGACGCTTCCAAGCCCTGCGCGGAATGCGGTGCGACATCGCCAAGTTGGCCGGGGCGAGGCACATGATCCTCCTTATCCGTTGCGCCGTCGTCCTGCATAACCTCGTGCTCGACGCGTGCGACGACGAGGGGTTGTACGCATCGGAAATGCAGGCTTGCGATGCAACGCACGGTGTGCACGACAAAGATATTGACAGCGTACGCGTCAACCCCAACAACGTTCCCGGCGAAGCAATCATTCCGGCTTCGACTCATGATCTTCGCCGCCAATTAGTGATCGCGTTCTCGAACAACAACTACTAGATGATAACCATGGATGATAACGTTGTCTTTAATCGAGCTGGTACGAAAGAGAATCTTCACTTGTTTTGTCTAATGTAATCGAGCACCTCCTCTTTGGAGTAGCCCATTTCACGCATCAGGCGGGCCTCTTCCATGGTCGCTGCGTGGCGCTGCGCGCTACGCTTGATGGCCACTTCCTCCTTCTTTATGTTGATCTCTTCCTGCTTCAACTTGCGGTCATCCGTCTTGGCGTCGGCGTCAGCCTTGTCTTTTGCCTTCCTGTACTCGAGCTCGGCCATCTTCGCCTCGGCCTCCGACTTGTGCTTCGTCTTCTTGTACTCGAGCTCGGCCTGGCGACTTTCAAAAAGCCGAGCGGCCGCCTTCTCAACGGCCTTCGTCGACTCCTGCATTCCGTGCATCATGCCCTCACCTATTGACATGGACTTCTTGCGGTCACTTGGCAACTTGGGTTTCTTGGACGGCGGTTCATGGGGCGATGACGACGACAAGGATGAGAAGGACGAGGCGCTCTCGCCGCCGTCGCTGTCGTAGGCGTCAAATGTTTGCCCCAAGGACTCGAGAGTCACCGGCGTATCGTCCTCATTCGAGGAACGAAGGACGGGTAACGCAGAGGCGCGTTCACCAAAGACGTCCTTGATTTCTTTAAAATGAGGGCATATATCAAGAATTGCCTCCTAGCACACCCACGGGACGTCAAATCGATCTTTCATCGCATGATCTTACCGGTATAGTGCCGTCCTCGACACCGCTACCCGTGTAGCCAAACTTGTCGATGGCCTCGTTGAACTTCGTGTGGAGCTCTTCGATCTTGGTCTTCACGGACTTGCTTGTGCGGGTGAGCCCATGCTCCTTGATCATGGCCGCGATCTCCCCCGCGATCGTGATCTTACTTTTACCATCCCTCTTCTTGCTGCCCCCTTTCCATCGCTTGTAGTTGACGTAGCCGTCCGTGGTTTGGTAGTTGAGGTAGTCGATGAGCAGCTCTGCAGAGGACTTGCCGCAACGACACGAAGGCTCTGCGCAAATGTCCTTGTTCCAGAGCGTCATGATGGCGACAGTTGCAGACTGACATGATGGCGGGAAAAACCTGTGAAATCTTATGGACCAACCAACGTCGGCCCACGATTTTCGTGGCTGGCGAGGCGTCGGTCGGCTACCCGAAAGTCCAACCACCCAAAACATTTTTGGCCAATCAGAATGCGTAAAAGTTTCGGCCAGCGCCGGCCGGCGATTCAAAAAACAGCTTTGAAACCTCCTACTATATGGTCGACACGCTTCGTCTTCGTTCGCGGTGTTGTGTACGCTATCGGACGTGGCACTGATGTTTGTAGGGAAGGAGGGCTCTTGCTCGTCATTTTGGTTGCCTGTCAACGTGGAGGCAGCTGAAGTGGAGGCGACACGCAGCTCCTGAATGACTTTATCGTCTCGATGACGGTAATCGACGGCCACTAGCGCGTGAGACCCATGTATAACTGAACTTGCTACTGTAAGGAATCATTCAATGGAACAACTTGAATGGCTTGACTAGCACGATGTACTAGTAGCCCGAACACACCAACCATGTCCGTGTACAAGTTGTCACACTTTTGCATGCTCCGTTGCGGAAGCGCCAGTTTGTACGATCAAATTTACGTAGATGGTGCCACGGGTCTTTGTGTCCTTGATGGTGCCAAGGACATTTTATGGAGAGCTTCTGACACCTACTTCGTCGCAAGAGTATCAAGTTTGCCAGCAGGATGGACGGGTTTGTAAAAACTTTGCGAGGTTGTGCAGGGTTGTTTGCAACGACCAATCAAACGTGTGCGGATTGTGGGCTGGGCCAATCAAACCATTTCAGGAAGAACTGCCCGTGCAACATGCGCACCGCCTGCCTCGCCTTTC